AGTTTTTTATGTGAATGTGAAATCTATTGATATAGTTAATTTTTATTAGTACACTTAATGAAAAAAAAATTTTAAATAAAGTTTATTTTTACTTCCTCATTGTTCCATTACTTTATGATACTAGTTCCGTTTCCAACTTTTTATTTTTATTATATCTTTTCTGTTAATCTATACATATTTACAAAAAATATCATTTGTGGAAATAACATATTAAGAATGTTGCATGCATGTGCTTTTGTTTAACAAATATATAAATAAATTGTAATTTTCATTATTTTATATTAGAAAACAGAATGTCTATTGTTTATTTAAGGACTCCATGATTTAATTAATTCATATGTATTTATTTTAATATAAGTTTTCTTTGTATATATTTTTTTAAGAAATTACTATTTTAAGGATTCAAATAAATATATTGAGTGTACAGTAATAAATTTCACAATATTTTCTATAAAATGCTTTATTAAAACATTTAATTGGTAGAGCATATATAAATATTTATTTGTTTTATACTTATATGTAAGAATACTATGCTATATATCTATTATAATGGAAATATATATCTGTACAGTATATTATTTGTTATGTACTTCATAAGAAAATGAAAACTTAATATTCATATATATTATAATAATGTTTGTTCCCAAATTTTGAATTCATGTTTTGTAATTTTAAATGAAATTATTACTTACATTAACAAGGAAGAATACATAACTATAAATATATAAAATTTTTTATTCATTTAAAAAAATATAAGTTATTTTTCTTGTATACGTATATATATACTTAATCATTTATAATACATACAAGTAAAAATATTTAAAACCATGTATTTTTTTTTAAATATATTATTCATTAAATAAATTAGTACTACGCTTTGATACAAAAACATATATCTATAAATATATTACAGAAAATAACCCTGTAAAAATATAGTCATTAATAGCAATGTGTACAACATATTATAAGTAATTCTATAAATTAATTTGTAAACACCTGTTATACACAGTAAAGGAAAGATTTAAATTAATATGTTATAATATTGTGAACTTATGGTAATACATAAAATACATAATAATAAATAAATGTCATATAAAATTAAAATAAATATAGGAAAATAATCAATTATTTGAATAATAATATAATTATTTAACAGAAAATTTTAATATTATTAAACTATATATGCAATAAGTATAATTAAATGTCTTCATGTCAAATAAAATATAATTTTAATATTGTATTTATGTTTAATTATATATTTGAAAAAAGATAAATACACCTAATTTTATATTAATAATAACAACAAATACACGTATATTTATTTTTGTGCCTAGTTCATTTAAGAATTAATATAATATTGAATAAACTATATATATGTATAATTAAAAAACATGATTAGACTTTTAATATATTTTTAATATATCGAATAAAGTAATATTTTATTTAATGAATGCGTTAATATGAAACGTATTAAAACAAATATTTATATATTTTTTTTCATATTTTCATAAAAAATGTTAGAGTACTATGAATTATTATAAAACAAAATTGTAAACAATGAATTAATGGAATAATGTGTATTATGATGTAATAATATAACACGTTTATTTTATATTTTATTCTTTTAATATATATATGTTAAATATGTAAAATAATATTTTATATTATATAAAACTAATAAAACATTAATTATACCTATATGTTTATATTTTTTCATAAGTGTTATTAGAAATTGCCCTCAAAAATTATTAGCATAGAAATTCCATACATGAACTGGAGAATTACGTATTCATATTATTAATATATGAAGTTTTACTTTAGGGTAATTATTAAATTCTCAGCAATAATATATATTATAAATTATTAAGAAAAAGAGTTTACCTACAAGAATAATATTTAATTATACAAAATTATATTCCTAAAAATTGAAAAATTCTGATTATATTTCCATTTGTCATAATGTTGTTTTCAATAATATATCATATAAATTCGAGTTATCAAAAATATAATTTTATGTCAACAATAAATGTTCTTATGTTAATTATTAGGTTTAAATGGATTAAGTTAAAGGAAAAAGTTACAATGTCTATATATGCATTCATATTGTACCTTACTCCTATATTCTACACATTTCATTGTACAACACATTTATGACATATATTGTTCTAACTTTTTATTCGCCATTATAAATATATTTATTGCCTTTATAAATAGTATAGTTATACAATACTACTTCATTAATCATATTATGTTTCACGATTTATTCTTTTATTTTTTATTCTTATACTTTATAATTAAATACATTTTTCATTTTTATAGAATATTCACGAAAAAATATATATTAAATTGTTAAATCATAATAAATTGAATATTTATTATTTATAACAGATATAATAATTGTAAAAATGTAATATTATTTATGAATGTTCTATTTTTTTTATTAATAAAAAAAAAAAAAAGGAAATTAATAATATGAAGGCACATTTAGGACAACATTCGCATTACAACAAATATTATAATTTCTGGGGTTAAGGAAATGTTCTTTATATATAATATAACAAATTTACTTTGTAATTATATATTTTAAATATGAATTTCATGTAATTTTAATATGTCTAATATAACATTCTATGTTATTTTATAAATCGCATAATGAAATAAATGTTCGATGCAAGTATACTATCATAGGGAAAAGTAAATAAATATCATGCAAATTTATCATAATTAACCTGGGATGTATTATTTGCGTATATTCATATATATAGCATACAAATATTTAAATGAATAATTCACGTCATTTATGAAATATTGTCTATTTGAAAACATGTTCACATGGAAATAATTCTTATAAAATAATTGATGTTTTACATTGTTGCATTGGATTATATATGCATAATAAATATAATTTCATTCACATTTGTTTTTATTCATTTTTAATAATAAACAAATTTGTTTTAATTTACATAATAAAGTAAAAATATGTGCATATATCATTAATTACTATTATGAGTATATTTTTAAAAGGTTATTATAATAAGAATAAAATTTTAATAATTATATTTTTATACGCACGTGCACTTTTTTAATAACATATTTATTAAATTTTTGTCACTGTATATATATAAAAGTTTAAAAATGGAAGAAAATCAACTGATAATTTAAAAAAAGAGAAATTATTCATATAACTCAGAATGATAAAAATGATGTAAATATGCATAGGAAATTGATAATCATACTAATGTAATGTAAAGCATCAGTACAATAGTATCATAAATGTTTAATAATATTACGAAACAATTATAAGTTATATATATGTATAACGTGAAAACAGCTGCTATGTTTAATTATATTTTATAATATTAATAGGCCATATAAAATCTTCCTATGCATTGACATATATAATTTTATTTTTTTTATACTATTTTTTCATGTTCTCCTCCTATTATTATTAATTTATGTTTACTTTTATGTTATATCTTATGTTGTAATTTAATTATTTATATATTTATGTGTAACAATAATATAATTATATTCTAATGTGTTTTGTATATTTTCAATTATATAATTTATTAAAGATAAAATATATGGTATCATATGTTCATCTCTCAATATTATGAATTTTATAGAAATTTCATTGCATATTATAATAAATTAACGTTCTTCTGATTTATTTCATAATTTTTTGACGGATTGAAAGTAAAAATTAATAAGGATAATATTTTTATCACATTAACTACATAATTTTAAAAAATTAATGTTTTCATACATATTTTAATATATAGAAACATATGTACAACATTCACTTTATATTTCCTTAACACAATATATTGATATTCTGATATTTGTTAAAGGATCATAAATGTGCTTCATTTACATTATAAATTTCACTACATAATAATCAAAAATATTTTGTTTTATTTTACTTTAAATTAAAATAATTGAATATTATATATTTATTTTAATTCAATTTATATAAACGATACATGAAAAATGAAATATTATTTAATGTAATTACCATTGAATATACTGGATATGTAATGTAAAATATTAAAAGTATTTATATTACAAAATAATATTTTGATACATCCTTAAATAACAGAAGCCCCTTGAAAACTTCATAATTAAAAATATTAACAGATTTTTTTTACAGATTCAAAAAAAATATTAAATATATTTTTAATTTAAATAATAATTCTTATGTGTTTTACATGAATGTATATAATATGTATATCTCCATTAAGGATAAAAATATAATGATTTGTATAAATTAACATCAATATTTATTTTTTAATCTCATTATAATATAATTAAATTTTAGAAATATTTAATTCATATGATGGTGAATGTATTATAACGCATAAATATAAATATTATTATGAATTAGAAAAAGAACATATTCAAATATGCATTCAAAATTTAATGAATAACATATTAAAGGAAAAATACTATTTTTGTGTCTATTAAAAAAATAAAAAATAGTTCTTTTTTACAGATATTGCATAAAAATTATAAATTAACTATTTTATATACAAAGAATTATAATACATAAGCTGAAAATTATGTACAATTATAATTATCGAATATCTGTTTAATTGTAATATATTAATAGAATGTGTCATGTAATTTTAAGGAATGTAAGTATTTGTTATATATATTAAATGCCAAGGATAATTCAAATTTGCTTCAACTAATGTATTTTTTTTTTTTGAGTTGTGAAGATATAAAGATTTATATCTTCTTATAAAATTAAAAATAATATATAAAATTTCCTAAAAGAATACTAGTAAAAAAAGAATAATCTTAAATAATTAACTAGATGTATAAAACTCCGTAGTACAGTAACTTCAATGATAAATATATTTTACAAATTTTTTATAAATTTCATAATTATTAAATTACTTTCATATTTTGAATTATACATTACTATTTTTAATTAAAGTATGTATTAATTTTATTTAATCTTCAATATTATATAAAAATTTACTAGGAATATTATAAAAATGCAGGGGGTTTTTAGTGTAATCCTAGTAAAAGAATTCATATATATATATATATGTACTGTAATTTTATATTGGACATAAATATGTAAAACAAATACATATTTGTAAAATTAAATAATTATTATCTAATTTATTTTATATTTTCAAACCACAGTCAGATGATATATCAAGTTTTCCTTCTACAATAAGTTATAGAAAATTAAATCCTATATACGAACTTTGTGACGATAATGATACGACAATACGTGAAATACTGGGGAAATATAATAGTCTTGATAGCATATTAAATGAACTTGTAAAATCATTATGTTATTTAGCGGATATGCTCTCGCAAAAATCTAATAATAAAAAAATGTGTTACGATATTTACTTCTGGTTAGGAGATATGATATCTCAAAAGGTATCTAACGATTTTGATTTTTATCCCATTCTATCTGCTTGCATTCCGGGACTATCTATGCTTGGAGCAAAACACACTTGTAAATTTCCCTTTACATATATAAGTAAAGAAGATTTTATGAAAATGAAAACGGTTTATGATTATACATATGATTATGAAAGTATTAATCTTGCACTTAAGCTTAATGGAAATTTGTGTTCTAAGGGGCATTATGAATATCTACAGAAAGCTACTTCTACTTATGAAGAAATTTACAATGACTGTATTATGGAGAATACAAAGGATTATTGTTCTGAATATAATAATATTTTCTCTGAATTTAAAAATGGAAAAAAATTAAGTCCATTAACTTGTAGTGTAAAAGATGAATCACCATCATTTACACTAACAGATGCACGACAAGATGTTGCAGAACATATTGAATCATCAAATTTAGATTATACAAGAAGTGGATATACTTTGCAATTTCCCATTTCAGATGATACAAAAAATCTATCTTTTGCAAGTGTCTATGGTACATTCATCACATTTATGTGTATATTCCTTATGCTACCTCTTTTATATAAGGTACATAAAAATAAAAATTTAAACATACTTTTAGTATTACATTTCAATCTTTAAATTACAATAATAAAATATTCGATAAAAAAGATGCTATATATATAATTTACTCATTAGTATACTCCAGCTGGAACTTGGACACATAAATATTTTAGACACACTGCAAAATTATTCGATAAAATACAAAATATATTGAAGCTGAAATTAAGACAAGATTTTTATGAATCTGAAAAATTAAATTCGTACATAAACTATTTTAACTTATCATATGGCCTATAGTAAATTTTTTTTATACATAATAATTAACAATTTTTGAACTTACTAACTAATATTGTCTATAAGTATAATGATAATAAAAGAATTACTTTAAAATAAGGATTATACTAAAAATACTTTTACTATAACTATAAAATCAGCATAATGTATATTCCATAAATAAAAAAAAATTTAGTTATTGTATTATATATTTTTAAATAGATAATTGATTTAAAATTTATATAATAATTAAACATTACTCGTATATGAATAATTATTTAATTTAATTTTTTTTTTTTTTTTATAATTTTTATTTTTAGAAATATATACCTGATTTTAATGACTATAAGTGCATATGTTATGCAATATATATTTAAACAAAAAAGCCAGGGTATCTAGTGAAACACGAAGGAATCCTTTTAGAATTACAAATTATGTAACCTTAATTAAACAAACAAAATTGAAAGAAAAGCTAATATTAATTTAACATTAATTATTATTATACAATATAACAATATAAAAACTTAATATAACACTTTGCATCATAACTAATACAAATCGTAACTACTTTTATACTTAACATATAAAATATAAACAAGCACAGAACTTAACTGACATATGTGTATATTGTGTACAGACAAACAATATATTAAATTATTCAAAAAATAAATCTATGAAATATGTAGTATTTTAGTACAATAAATTTTGTATATAATCAAGAATTATTTAATGTAAATAGGATATACATGGAATATAGTTCATGAAAAATTTTAATATATATTTTTGTATATTAATAATTCTATTTAATAATTAATGTAGGTTATAATATTTAATTATATTGTAATAATATCATAAAAGTAAAAGAATAAATATTTATTTAAAAAATAATAAATTTTTATGTGAGTTAAAGTATTTTACATATTTTATAATCGTGAATATATGGGTAAGTAAATGAGATTCAAATTAACAAGGTAATGGAAAAATTAAGGAATTAGCTAAATTCTTCTGTACGCCACTATTGCTAGTAATGCATGTTAATATATAACTCCCTATTCAAATGTATATAAATATTATAAGTTTAAATTAATATATATATATAACTATTTATATGCAGATATTTGATTATAAGAATGTATGAAAACTAAAAAGGCTTTATATTTCAAAATATTTTTATATATTTGTGAATTTATACGAATTTTCTGAATGTTTTCATTATATATATTACATAAATATTATTTGTTATCTAATATAGGACTGTGAGTTTTAAAAAAATTATATTATAACAGTAATATTGTCACATTATAATAAGTAAAAGTAAACATTAGTTCATAAAAATAAATAGTACAATGTTTATATATTAATTAATACCTAATGATAAATTCATTTGATGAATTGGATGTAATAAATGTTCAAATATATTTTCAATAGTTTATTATTAAGTAAGCCATAATGCATGTTTAATATGATAAATCTTTATATTGTATGCAATTATGAACACATATATTCTAACATTTCTATAAATTTAATATACAAATATAAGCACTCTTAATATATATACATTCTCCATTATCATATTTATGAATTAAAGTTTTGTGATTATAGTATATAAAAATTATTTCTATTATTTTAAATATTAATTAAACTCGATAGTAACATAATACATATGTCATTGTTTTTAGAAATGTATATAATGGATAAATAAAAATTTACAATACTATATACTAATAATTTTCATAATTAAAAGTAGTATATTAATCAATAATAGTTAGAAAAAAATTATGAAAATATAAGATAAGAAAATTTAATATGTTTAAATATTTCTTTATAAAAACATATATGTAATATTTATTTTTTGCACGTATGGATATTTTAAATCATTTGGTAAAATGAATTTACATTTTTTAATTAATTGCATTATATAAGGAATATATTAAGTGCTTATAATGTTAGAGCTTGTTATAACAATTATTGTTAATAACTGATTCAATATTTATTTCGTTTTATAATTTGAATGATTACTACATTTCATTTAATGAATTATATTCAAGAACGTTCTCCAGTACTCATTATCAATACCACAAGGTGCTATTCTAACAAACATTTGCAAAAAATATATTGATATTATTATTAATATAATATACATATTTATACGGTATATATTATAAAAAAATAAAAGTGAAATATTCATTAATTATTATATGATATACACATATTAATTTTCAGGTAAACCTTAGGTTCTTTGTCCATTTTAAAAATTTACTATATATTAATACAATTAATTTTTTAATACAACATAATATTTCATGTATATTTAACAATAATTATTAAAATATTTTTAGATCTTAATTTTAATAGAACTATCTTATTAGAAAAATATATAGAGCATGCTTTTTAGTAAATTCCAATAATGTTTAGTGTTATATATAATTCAATTAATCAAGGATGATGTCATAAATATGTTTAAATCCGAACAGGAAGTACGTGAGACAAGAGAATGTTCTCTTATGCTTTTATTTTTTAAGTATTCTACTTTCTTACATGATCAAAATTTATCACTAAATAGGGCTTACATTTATATTCCAAGGGGAATAAAATAATGAATGTATTATATATTTGATATATTTAATATTAATATGTTTCCTATTGTAATAGATGTTATAATTTAAAATTAAAAAATTACATTGAGTAGTTAATTTAATTCTTCTTATTTCCATGTATTTTATATTAATGTGAAAATATAATATATACAGTAAAGTAGGGAAAAAATATACTATATATTTGTTTAAAAAGTGAATGGTGTATAATAAAGATGGAGAAGGTTTAATTTAACATTTTAATTAATATACGTTATATATGCATGAAAATAAGCAGTTGTCCAATAGTGTTACCAGTATAGATAACATTTTTTGGTTAGATTCAAATGTAATTAACTTTTTTTAATTTTTCAATTTCATAATATCGTTTCTTTAAGCATAATAACTAAAATTTCTATACTTCAAGAAGTGTTCTTATAAATGAAAATCCTTAAAAAACTTTTATAATCCTAGGGAACAATTAAATTAATATGCTTCATTATGATAAATGTGAATCATTTACAATATATATTCTATATTAATGCTTTCCTATAAGAAATATTAATAAAATTTGTAATTAACATCTTTTTTTACCAAATAAAGTCTTCATGGCAATATTAAAAAAATGTAATTATTCCTTTAAGCAATATATATGAACATCCCTAAATGAAACAAAAAAATTGTTTAAGTATAAAATAAACTATATATCAATGTAATAAAATAATAAAGTAATATAATTTATTATTGGTGAAAAATATTTACACGTATTAAGTCATTAGATTTACGCAACAAATTATATAGTTTTACACTATTAATGTAGATAAAATCATCATGAGTTACCTTTAATAGATAAACATAAAAAACTCTATAAATTTAAGGAAGTATAAAAAAAAATATATATGGAAACAAAATTTTAAGCCATATATACATTTAATGAAAAAAAATTATATTTATTGTATTTACATATTTTGTTAATTTTATTATATTTTTATATACAGTATAAATATTCGTTACTTAGATTTTTAATTTAATATGTAAAATAAATAAAAAATATAATACTAAAGTAAAATAGATAATTATTTTTACTTTTAAGCATACTTATTATTTATTTATACATATATATAATATTTAGCTGTTGTATTGTACATATTTATATTTCACATTTCTGATCGATAAAGCTTAATCATCAAATATTTCAACACTGGAAAAATTATAATATTTTAAATAGAGTTTTTATTCATAAAACTACTTTTAGAGTTATATAGTGGGCTTTCACAAGTTGATATATCGTATAAGGTATATTTAAATTAAAAATGTGACAAACTTACTATATATAAAGAATGATTATTTTCAAAATTTTTTTTTTTTGTTTTTTATAGTTATATAATTTCCCTATATTCTATAATTATAATGAATATATTAAAAGAATATTGAAGATATATGATTTAAATATATTAATTTATGTAAATTTTTTCTTATTAAATGATAGAATGATATAATTCTCTTATAATTACTATTTAACTTATATAATTTTTTTATGTGACATATGTGATCTACGTATTTATGGATGTATTTAATATATATATTTTTAATTTTTAATAATAAATATATTATATTTATAACATTAACACAAACATAAATTAGTATAGGAATTATTTTCACTTATTTTCAAAGGTTTTATTCATTTGTATAAATATAACTTATGCTATGAATTAATGAAAAGCATTTAATTTTTTTCTAACATTATAGAGTTCATGATACAATATAAGTATTTCAAAATACAAATACAATTTATTTTTTCTTTTATATTATTCTATGGGTAGTAAAAATTATTTTTCTAATTACTATAACAATGTGTACCTTTTTTCTTATGATTTACATAATTAATTTTTTTTATTAGACAAAATACCGTATTAATATATTTTAAAAATGACCTTATATAAATATTGTTTTTGTGATAAACTTGAATATAGAAGAATAATTATAATAAAAATTAATTATCAATGATTGTTTATAAATTAATAATTACCTATATTTATTAATAATAATTACAATCATTGTTCAATTGCTAGCAAATATTCGAAATTTATTATTCATTTATGTCCTTGTACTGAAAAAATTACCATATTTCTTTGTAATTTTTCCATTAATCAAATTTTTTTTCCATTATGTATACATTTTTTGGTGTACACAATTATTCCTTTAATTGTATTAATTAAAACAAATTATTCTTATTTATTATTTTTTATTTTATATTTTTTAGGGGTATTCTAATGTGTTATATTTTATGTCCACACATTTATCTATGAAGTCATCACATTTACAATCAAATGAGCTCATTGATGTGAATTTATCTTTGATTTTTTTGTTCATTAGTTCCTTTAATTTCCTTATCTTTTGTTGTAAATATAAATAACTTGGCGTATACTGATAATAAATAAGAAATGTTGT